TACCCGGCTGCTTTGCAGCACTCACATTTGCTTTTTACTCTGCCTAGTTTCAAAGTTCTGTTTTCAGTCTCCAAAACTCCATTTAACACAATGCACTATTTAAAGTAGGCCTGTAGCAAACAGGTAATATTAACCCAGTAGAACAATACACTTAATAGCACAAGTATAAGAAGCTATTTATTGCTGATATGAGTGATCAATAGTAAAAACAAGTATTTAGGCACTCTTCACAAAACCAGAAAGCTATTTAAAAAAAAAAACAAAACACCAAAAAAACTATAGTAGCAATGGTGAATTTCATGATTTCCAAACAGCTGTGTAGAGAAGCTATCTGGAGTGGGAGAGCTTATCTGGAGGCGGCTGTTCAGTCTCATTGCTGTTCCTGGTCCTGCCTCCCACCACACCTTTCTCTTGTGATTCCTGCACCCCGGTGCAAAGAGGCTCAATTGTTTGCATCACTGTAGCTGGATACCCACAGTTAGTTTACCTGAATACACCAAGGAATCACATACTCCAGACTTAATGACACTGATCCCACAAACATAGCCAGGGGATATAGATTAAACTATTTCCAGGAACAAAAATTGTTTGCACAAGCAAAAATTGCACAGTAGAGTGTATGATAGCATACCCTTGCTGTCGTCCCAAATTAAAGGAAAACTAAGTAACCTTGTAATTGGTTTCCTAATGGCATTCTGTCATATTGTATTCTGGGGGAAAAGACCTTTTTTTTTTTTTTCCCTTGGTTTCTAAAAGCACTACCACACTTGAAAGAGTAAGGGATGTGATTTGAAACCCTCAGTTTGCAGCAATCCATGGAAATTCATCACTAACTTCAGGGAAACAGTTTTTCACCCACTTTTCTGAATACCATCAGCTTTACATTATAGATTCTGTATAGATTATTTTCAACTGAGTCTAGATACAAGCTCAAGCATACAGTCTCCCAAGGCTGGCAGGAAAGAACAACAAAAAGGAAGAAAGAGGGATGTATGCAGTATGATGACAGGGAGGAATAAACTGGCATTGTCTTATTAGACAATGTAAGCTGGAGATGTGCCTTGCTCAGAAGGAATACCACCAGAATCACAATGATACGAACAGCACAAATATTTAGTCCTTCAGAATCTTTTTGTGCGTGTAAAATGCGGTCAAATATTTGCCTGGTATGAAATGTGAAAATTTACACCTTATTACATCCTGTTTCTATTTTGTTCTAGACACAGAGGAGCAGCAAAGCAATGGTTCTAGCACAGAAAGTCATAAAAACGTGGAAAAAAGTGGACGAGGTGCTCAAGCAGCTGGCATCGTTTCTGTTGTCATTGTGATAGGTCTTCTAGCTGTTTTAAGCTGCTGGCTGTGGAGACGGAGGTGCTCTAAACTAGCGTCCTACACAGGTAATGAGGCCCTTCATTTTCATGACTCAGTCTGGAGAATTCTTTTTCATTTGCCGAAATATTTAATATCATCCAGTGTATTGCTGGAAGGTACGAGTAAATTCTCTGCACACAACAGCAGGAAATCATGCTGTTATCAAAATTCTGGGGTTCCCTGGGGAGGACATATAATGCCCCAGAACATGTTATTCATTATGGCTTTCTGCTAATGCATCTGAGCCTCACAGGAGTTAACTGCTGGATGTGAGAGTAACTCAGACCTTGTGCCTGTTCAGGCCATAGTTTTTGAGCTATGATCCCTGCAGGCTGTTTCTGGACAAATGGAGGGGATGCTCCTCCATGGAACAGGACTGGGGTCAGTAGCTGTCTCTACTTAGCACAATCCAAAGCAGAAATCAGAGGATAAATCAATCCTGAGAGCTTTAAAATCAGTGGCTGGGCAATTAAGGGCTCAAGATTCCACTGGGACCAAGCAGCTTTCTACAAGTTAGAAATAAAGCATATCTCACTGTCACTGTATATTATACGTTCATACCCTTGTATTGCTGCATTTGCCCATGTGCGGGACTCTTCAGTGCTTGGCAAGATAGAACAAAAAGTTATCTCTAAAGGACATCTTGTGAACAAGACTCAGTCTGCTGATGTATCTGAGTACTTCTATAAGCCACTTTGCAGGTATACAAAAGCTAACATCTAAGAAAAGGGGGCAGGAGCAACCACACTTTTCATGAACAAGGACAAACCACATTTTCAATCCATGCCCTCTTCCTCATGGCTAGCAAGCCCAGGTGCTTCAGAAAAGAGCAGGAGAAAGCAGGGTAGTGATCTTGCTCAGCATCTGCAGCAGCTGTGCTAGGAGCCATGTCCTTCCTTCAGAAACAACCCAAGAGTGGTGCAGCACTCTGTCCCAAAACATGGAGCAGGGCTGTTGCTTCAAGCCCAAAATCTATCCTTGCTGAAATGGTGACCTAGATTGTAAGCAAATAGAATATGGACTGCATTTTGCTGTCCAAAGAGCATTTAGCACATTGAACCCTGAGCTTTGGTTCATGTTGCTTAATAATAATCCTGTTTGGCTAAAGACTGTAGTTATCTATCCTACGTGCTTAAAATAGTGCCTTTGTTTCAACAGATGTCCAACCAAATGAAGACAAAGGAGAACGCAACTGTAAGTATTAAAAATATGTTACTGTATTTGTCTCAAGAGTAACTTCATAGTTTCAGTACTCAACTTCAGCACAAAGCCTTTGGATTAGACTTGCTGGATGTTACAAACTCAAGCATGTAAAGCAGTAGCCCAACTTCTTCTCTCAGCCCTTTTCCCTGAGCTCTGTAAGCATTGCCAAAGGCAGCCTGAGAGTCTCAGTTCCCAGAATTTCCTTCAACAGTTCAGGCCAAAGGACATGACAAACTGACAGGGGACACAGAGCGTACGGACTGAAGCCACCCTCCCCTCCCGTTCTACAACTGTGCTGCAGCTAGTGTTGCCATCAAGATAGGCAGGGTACGCTATAAGCCAGGCAGAGCCAAACTTGGAAAAATCTGTTTTAAATGCTGATTTTTCAAGTCTGGACAACACTGACCATTTATCACTTCATATCGTGTCAGTGCCTGTCACCAAGTTGTTGTTCTCTGGCTTTATAGGCACCGTATCCTAGAAGGTGTTTAGCTGGGATACGGGAACATCATATGCCTCATGTCTACGAACCTGCACATATATACATACAATTTAAAAAGTACTAAGCACTCCCCTTCCCTAGAGAAAACAAAAATACACGGTTTAGACCTTTAACACGTTTGTATTTTTTATAAGCAAGAAAGCAATATTGCAGGCCAGCTAGTTTACAAATTCACTTATCATTTATAGTCAGGGGAAAATAAAAACAGGGCAAAAAAAATCCAGGACAAATTTGGAAAAAACAACTCAGCACAGGGAACTCACAAGAGTACAGAGAGGATGAAATATCTATTTTATATCTCATTTGGTAGTTTCTACTGAAGCAAATTATTGTTGCCTGGTTATCTCTGCAGAACAGGCAGAAAATACTGTGGTTCCACCAAAACTGTAATAGGGAAAGTAGAGTTTTCCCTAGCAGATGCTGCAAATGTACCCAATACATAATATCAAGCAGAAGCAAAATAACCCTTAAATTAAAAAACTTTTTCCGGAACTTCTTTGGTGGTCATACAAACTGGGTCAATGGTCAGTTATTTTCCAGACCCATCACGCAACCCCAGCGCCTGACCCACAACATTTGTTTGCTAACCATCAAACAGGCATTACATTGTTTCCTGTGGAGCATAATGTAGAAAGGAGGATGGATTTTTTCCTTAAGATAAAGAAACATTTTCTCCTTCCACTCCTGTGAGCTGCATTAATGTAACATAAGCAGTTCATGTAATGTCAACTTTTTCTTCTCCAGACTTATGTATACTAGGCCCTGTTTTATTAGATCCCTCGATTTAGCCGATAAAGTAGAAAAACCTCTGTGACATAAATAGGAGTAAATATTTATCTTCTATTGAAGGCTGCTGTCGCATGATTTGTTCATTAACGACAAAATACAGACACTTGCCTTCCAGAAAATATCTTGTCCTTGGCATGTCTCTGCACCATTTGTGGAAGAGGAGGTGGGACAGCAGCTTTGGTGGTTCGCTGCTATCAGAAACTGTCCCACCTCTGAGGGCTGTTTTCTGCCAACAGAGCCTTGTAAAGCATGGAAGGCAGTATCTTTTGGGCATCCCAATTTGAGAGCAACTTGGACCAACACGGGAGAAATGAGAACGATCTAGGGAACATGACCTCTGATGAAAGATTAGTTATGTTTGTTTAGGCTGGAGACAGCAAGGCTGATTAAGGACACAATAACAACCATCTTCAGAGAGTCCTTAAAGAGGATAGGACAAGTTATTTATTGTCCTAACACAGCAGATACAGCACTTGAGGCACAACAGGCTTAAACAAAGGAGATTTAAGCTACATGTTAGGAAAAAAGGCCTTTCTAAGCATAATGGTAGTTGAACACCAAGGCAGAGAGTTTGTGCAGGCTGTCAAGTCTCCATCCGTCCAGGTTTGTTGCTCTTATGTTTTATTCTTAACAAAAGAGGAAACCAGTATCTGTCAGGAATTATTTAGAAATAGCTGGTACTAAGTTGAGGCAAAAAGATGGGCTCTTGGAGAAATTCTAGCTTACTTCAATGATCATTTGAGATTTTCAAGCAAATTGTGCATGGTAGATGGGGAGAAAGGCACTGTGGAGGTTGCACCCCCAGGGACACTCTGCCACGGCATTTTGCTTTTTCAGTACTGATGTAAATATGTTTCTGCTTCTATGGGTTTCACTTTATAAAGAAGGTCAGGTTGTTTCACAGGGGGTGGGAATCCTGAATACTGCAAAACCAAAAAGAACCTAGTGAGACTAACTTCACTGTTACAAAGAAAAAAGTTTTGAAAACTGTGGGGAAGGCAGGTTGTGAAGAAGAGAAACTTCATCCTGGTGGGATTAGTCTCTCCGGACACCCATTACAGTCAGCGGGACAGGATGAGCCACTGAGGAGAAACTGAGAGCTGGAGCAATTCTGAATTGCTCTCTGGAAGGATCCCTTCACTGCCTGTAGAGGAGCCTTGGGAAGCTGGTTTCCCTTAGCCACAGATAAGTTTTGTGTGCCTTGTTCTCTGAAGTAGCTTAAAACGAACCAAAGGTGACACTGACATCCCTTCACAAGGGAGTGGGATGTTAGCAAGAGACCACTTCTCACATTTGCAGAGCAAGAGGCACTTTCAGTCTGTGGCACAAGGGCAGAGGGCCGTCAGTGTCTTGGGTATCAAGGCAGGGCTTCACCTCTCTCATTCTCATGTCTCAGTAGCATGAATACATCTTTTCCATGGCTTTGCAACTTGTTCCACCAGTTACACAGGAAAAACAACTCTAGGATATGATTGTTTCTGGGGGATTCTTTTCTAAAAAGTTGTTTTATTTTTACAGCACCTGTCTAAATGGAAAGTCTGCCAACAATTTGGGCAGCTGGAGATGTGTCAAGAGAAGCATCACTCCCTGTATCAGTGGCAGCATTGCTTGTAATACAAGTGACAGATTTCTGCAGAGTGTGCCAAGAGAGATGGCAAAAAAAAGCTTCTCCAACACAAGAGACAGCAAAATCCGCTGGATTTCTGTTCCAGCCACTGGCTGTGTCCACACACCAGCTAACCACTTTGGACAGTCCTCTGTGACAGTCTGTCAGTGTTTTGAGCTCCTGCATTGGGGAAAGCAGTAAGCCTGGGACTTAGCTACTCTGTGCCAGAGTGCTGAAAGCTGGCGAGTGCCCAGGCTCTCATCATCACCATCAAGGACTTTGTTGGTAGCAGAAGCCACCGCGTTTCAGGAGCATGAGAAGTTCTTGCTGTTTCTCCTTACCCTGACAGTGACTACTGAATGTGAAGAATGGCAGCTAAAAAGAAAAAAAAAAAACAAACCACACCCCCACAAAAGAAAACTGAAGGACTCTCTGCAAAGTGAGATTTGTGACCTTTTCCACTTTTCTCTCTCTACAGTACATCCTTTCATTGCCCGGTTTCACCAACTGCATGTTACTGTGTACAGAACGAGGTAGAACATTTTCACCCAGTCCTCCAAAAATGGGAGTTGCTTTGACAGGGCTAAGCACTGAATGTGCTAATGTAAGGGAACATGCATTCTTTAAATGCACTTGATATCAACATTTCGTTTTTTACCAAATATTCCACCAAAAAAGGGGACTTCCACTTTCAACAGGAGCTGGTGCTTACAGTGTGAAAGAACAGGCTGTGGAAATCTGACCGGTTAAAAATAGCGTGCTCTGCTATGTTAATGTTGGGTTACCTGGACTTACCCGTTTCAGGATGGAACAAAAACTGTGGTCGAGCTCTGCTCAATTCAGCTGGTCTTTATTTAAGCACTCCCCTGTGGCTTCCGTGGAGTATTTTAAACTGAACCTCTCCTTGGGTCCTATCCCTCCACACACACACAAAAAAAAAGGGGGGTGCAGACTATATCCCTGTTTTCCATGAACATCCAGAAAGCCAAGAGCTGCAGTTTCCTTGTGCCAGTGCCTCGCTGGTTCAGCCCCGAGTCAGTGAAGAGCAACTGGTTGAAAATAGCGAAGCAGTAAACTTTGCTGATGGTAGGAGGTTTTGAAGGAGGAGGAATGTTGTTGTCCTGTTCTCACGTCACACAGAATCCAGAACCATTTAGCAATAGCACAGTTGGCTTTTGTTGAAGCAATACCCCCAAGGAGGCTCAGAGCTGGGTAGCTGTGCACCACCACTGCACCAGTATCTTGTGGGAGGGCTGCACAGGCTCAGCCTCCGTGGCATTTAAGACAAGGGGCAGTTTAGATCTCACTTGATGCAATCTAGGCTTACTCACCAATTTGAACAGGTTAGGGAAATTGTTGGGTTTGGTTTTGTTGGTTTGTTTTTTGTTGGTTTTTTTTTTTTTTTAAAAAAAAGCCAAGCTGCAACTAAATAATTAAGCCCATCTCCTGTTTAGATTGTAAATAACTGTGTACAATTTTTAAAGACATTTTATCTATTACTATCAAAAAACGTATATTGCATATTTGCTAATCTTGAATGATGTCTGAAAAATACTGGTTTATTTATTAATTTCACTTCTGTTCTCTGTTGCCTTCCAATCTACAGCTGCAACATACCCTATCGGGTAGGGCATTTAGCTCACAGCATTTGTCAGATAAGATTCCTGAGGTGCCGTAAATTACTTTAAACATCAGCCTTTTCTTGTCTTCTCTCATGTCCATTAATCTAGGTGTCAGATATTTTCTGAGTCCATATCTAGTCTTCAGTGAACCCTAAAGGACATCTGCTTGAAGAAAGCAGCCAAGCTTGCAGCCACCTTAAAAATGTGAACGACACCTGTGCAGATGTGAAGGGTAACCATTTCTTAGTTGAAAGGTTCACGCTTCCTTAGTAAGAAGTCCTGCAGACATTTCCTTGCTATCTATCACATGAAGTTGTTTTGCGCAGCCTCTTTGGTGCTGCTGTAACTGACAGAAGCCTTGTCTAAAAACAGTTTTCCACCTATAAAGGTTTTGCAACTGCAAGAAGCTATAGTAGTTTAGAGACGTAAGAAGTGACCTAGCAGTTGCTTTGCAATATGTTGTTAAGCTAAT